TTCAGTACTCTGATTAGTGCCATTGTCCAAGCTAGTCTATCTGAATTTCCAAAACACAAAGCAAACATTAATTTAAATAAAAGTCATTATTTCCACTGAATTGTGTTTTCCATGATTGTGCCAGATGCTGGCTTGAAAACCAAAGAGATGGCAGTATTCCACTTATCTAATAGACACACGCAATACAAGTTGCACCAGTGCGAACAAGCCCTTCCAACAGATCACCAACCTGATCTGAAGTGAAAACTACTATTCAGTCTCCATACGCACAGTTGCCAAGTGGCCCAAAGACATCAGTTAGTCCAAGCTGTGATGTGGATACCCATCTACTTGAAACAAAACTAGAAGTACTAACTTAGGGAATGTCTACACTTAAACCATCACTGCGGCACAGTTACAGCTGTGCTGCTGTAGCATTTCAGCATAGACACTACCTACTCCAACAAGAGGAGTTCTCCCATCGGAATAAATAATCCAACTCCCCAAGAAGCAGTAGGTAGGTCAATGGAAGAATCATTTCACTGACCTAGCACTGTCTACACATGGGTTAGGTCAGCACAGCTATGTTTCTCAAGTGTGGATGTTTCACACCCTTGACACACAGCTATGTCAATGTAAGTCCCACAGCGAAGACCAAACCTTATTTTATATAATAGCCACATGGTAAAACTTTCAGGTCACTACTAACAGAGGCTGGATTCAAACTGGGAACTCAGGGGTGAAAAACTCCATTATTGCATTACTAGTATTTTGAGACACTTCCCTTTCATTTAATTACTTTTTTAAAAAATAGACATGCAAACATTAGACTCACATTACTTTTTTTGAATGTAATCTCCCCATGGCCATTCGCCACACTCTAAGCCAGTGTTTCTCAATGACTGGTCCCCGAGATTTCCCTGACACAATATAGAAAGGCAGCAAGCCAGTCCTTGGTATCAAAGAGGTTAAGAAACACTGCTCTAAACCTACAATTTAGGCCTCATCTATTTGTCTGTATATTTTTAATGAAGTGTGCTCTTACAAGAATAGCAGTTTTCATCTTTGAGCTTTTGAAGAAGATTCTATAGTCTGGGGCCTTATTCTATGTGTACCCATTGTATTTTTCCCCATGTCTATATAGCAACCAGCACTACACCAAAAGTAATCCAAAAGTAGTTTTGCTAGTCTCATTTAAAAGTACTAGAAACATTTCCTTTGACTTATATGTCCATCAATGAATGCCTGGCAGCAGCAAATTTTCCCAGTGTCACCTGCTGTTAAAGACATACTGTCAAGTCTGAGAAATCAAAAACAGAATACTTTTAAAATCGTATATTTAATAGGAATATTATCTGATGTGCAGGTATGATGACATAGGGAAGACACAAACTGCCTAGTGACATGCAAGACCTTGATTAAGTGGACATTTTAAAATTAATTCTGGAGGGACTATAGTATATATCCTATACAAAATTATTACTTTAAAGATATTCTATATCTGACAGTGTCTTAACACTGTGGAATTTAATTTACCACTAACCCCCAAGCTTTCTCCTGCTGTTTTGTAACAGGACTAATAAGTACTATTTGTTACTCACCTTAAATATATTTACTTTTAATTCCATAATCAACTTATCTATCCATATTCAGTGCAAAGTTATAGTACTTTTTCTTAAAAAAAAAAAAAAAAAAAAAAAAGACTTCCCAGCTTGGAATCATAACATTTCATGCTTGCTGAACATTTTTCTTCCAGTTCACTGAAAGGGCAAAATTGGACCCACTAATAAGCTGTGATATTTAACTAGTCACCTCCTAATTCACACATGTTCCATCAACACATACTTTCATGTCTCTGAAATCCAACTGAGCTCTTTATATACTCAAGTACTCTTCATCACTCCTTTTTTTTCTGATCACATACTTGCCAGCTTTTATAGACAAAGTTTTTTTTAATTGGTCTAATATCAAAGATTTTCAAAAAGTCTAGGTAGTTTTGTTTCCCAGACACCCAGTTAGTTGAGCTCATTTCAAACATACAGACATTTATTAGATTGCCATATCCTTTTATGAAAAAACTGTGTTGACCTATAAATTATACCATAGTTTACAACAGGGATAATAATATATTAACATTTGTCTTCCTTATCCTTGGAACAATTCAGCATATCCAAAACAAGACTGTTTTTAACAGAATTATATGGATGCATTCACATAACAAGCTTTTTATGACCAAGACTGCATGAGTGCATTCTGGGACTTTTGAAACATGTCCTAGAACCAGTTCTCAGCTTGTTGCTGGAAAGAGGGGCCTTGGGATAATTTAAAAATGAGAGCCACTGCACTGTATGATGGTGTTAACACAACTGTCTGAACTGGGTCAGCTGTTACAATCATGGCTTTCTGTCTTTTCTTGTATAAGCCTTTGTAGATTCCAGTTCACTCACACCTGAGCGTAAAACCCCATCCCAAGTGTTGCAATTAATTCATAAAATTAAGTTTGTAAATTGACTGGAACAGCTGTTGCTTGTGGCTACAAAGCAACACTAGTTCAAAGAATTCCAATCCATGGTTATCTACAATGCCTTTTAACCAATGTATAGCGCAGAGAGCCTGTGTGTTCCCAGTATGCCTCTGGTTCACATCAAGGATAATCCCACTACTGAAGTCAACGTTACAACTACTGAAACCTACAGAAGTTAGAATTGTAAAAGACCTTTAAAATAATCTAATCTAGTCCCCTTGACAATACAGAATTGTTTCCTACGTTATGCCGTGTAATCTGGTTTCATCCAGTTTCTTGGTTCTTCTCTAAAAATAATTATCCACTCCTCTCTGATACATCAGAACCACCCTCTTTCCCAGTAAGGTCTTGAATATTTTTATTAGCTGTCTGAATACTTCCTTCAGAATTCTAGGACAGCTCTTGTCTGATCTTTGATTCTTATATCCCCAAGAGTTCTGACACTGTTATTTCTTCTTTTTTAAGGCAAGTCCATGATTTTTTTATCTCCCTTTGGAAACAACAGAGCAAAGATTCAAAGTGTGTGTGGTGTGTGAAAGTATATCAATATTCTCCTCTAGCTACCTCGTAAAAGACCTACAATCTCTTTTATCCAACTTTTGTCTTTTGCAGTCAAGAAAGTTGCATTTTTAAAGGGAAAAGTAATACGTCAAATCATTTTAAAAATTCCTTAACTATTCACAGAAATATCCCACACAGATTAAAGGCACATCAATCCGATATCTAGGAATGTTAAATTTAAAAAAAAATAGTTTGTAACAGTTTTTAAGCCTTACAAGAGAGGCTCTCTCTTGAAAAGTAGTTTACTATGAAAAAGCAGAAAGAACACAGGACAAAACGCTGATATATTGTGTTACACAAATATTACCCTGCAGCGACTGTAACACTGAAATTCTGCTTGACTGTTGAAAAAATAATTTAATAGAAACATTTCCACTGTTTTAAATTTCTTAAACGCTTATTTTCACCGACCTAGGTACCCCATCCTGAAAGCTGCTCCTTCTGGGCAGGCTCCTGTGCCTGTACGGACTTTACTGAAGTCAATGGGTTTGCCCACAAAGCAGGTTGCAGGATTGAGGCCTAAATCTGAAGGATTTGTTAACCATATAACATGCTAAGTATTCGTTCGTCCCTACCTTAGAGTTAACTTGGTTTTAATGTTTCCAGCTCTACACTTTAAACAGAGTTTTCTAATAGTCACGTCCCAATAGTACTTTCTTACTGTAGATTACTTTTTACATTCTCAAAAACAAAAGGAGTACTTGTGGCACCTTAGAGACTAACACATTTATGCTCAAATAAATTTGTTAGTCTCTAAGGTGCCACAAGTCCTCCTTTTCTTTTTGTGAATACAGACTAACACAGCTGCTACTCTGAAACCTTTTTACATTCTATAGTTCACATATGCTGAAGACACAGCTATTATCATAAACTTCACATCACCGCATTTATTATTGTTTTAAACAAAAACGAAGCATACATCCCGTTACTAATGATGAATTGCATATTGAGGCTTCTTTTATAGTACTACAACACAAGATTAATTATTTTTCAAACACTAAGATCTTTCCCATCCCTTCCAGAGGAAGAGGATTCAAGAAAGAAATGCATATAAGTTAGTTCATTTTCCATGTCTCATATGCAACATCACCACCAAAACAAACCTTTCTAACACTGCCTTTTACGTGTCTGTTAGGCCTCTTACAGAAAGGCCCTCAGTTTCAACACAGCATCAGTCCTCAGAAATCCCGTTTCTACAGAGCTACAGCCCATCACATAAAGGTACACTCAAACTCTCACTAAGATATGTACCGTACTGAACACAAAAGCCTAAAAAGCTTAAAATTTGTATGACACATCCAATCAACTGTATGATAGCCCGGTACATAGCATGCCAAGCAACCTTAAAACAAGGGGAAAACACAACCTGCCTGCAAGTATTTTTTTAAAATAATCTGCCTTTGAGTTTATAGTACAACATGCCAAGAAATCTTAGGCAGCAGCACCTGCCAACTACTGCATTCCCCACAACCCATCAGCGCAGCAGCTCCTGCCTGTCCCAGGTCCCCCCTTCCCTACCTCTACGCAGACATTATTAGAGGAAAACTTTGGCCGGCCAGCCGGCCGGCCACACACACGTGTAGGGACGCAGCAGGAGCAGCTGAGCACGGCCACCTCCTCCTTCTCCCACAATGCAACGTGGGCTTTCACATTTTAAGCTATTTCCTCACAGGATCAAAGGCAAGAAGCCAAAAACCCACCGCAAAAAAAGCTCCCCGCACCCCAGTACGCGGTGCCAGCCCCCGGGGCAGACACTCGCTCCCTACCCGCCCCTGCAGCCCCGTTTCATCCAAGGCCCCGACATGCCCGGAGCTTCCGGCGGCGGCGCGTGTGATGGAGCCGCCCCTGGGCTCACCGCCCCTCCGCCCTGCCCCACCGCCCGGCCGGCCGGGGCGGCGCAGCCCCTGTGTGGGGCCAGGGAGCCGGCGATACTCACACGCGTCGATCTCCTCCGGCAGGTCCTCCTGGAGCAGCGACAGATCTAGGGGAAAGACACAATGAGACGCCCCCGCCGCCTCGACGCGCCCCCCCCGGCCCCCTCCCGCCTCCATGCGCGGGGGGGGGCCGCGCGTCGCCCCCCAGCCGCCCGCTCCCCGCACACACAAGGGCCGCTCCCGGCAGCAGGCGGAGCTGAGGGGGCGCTGCCCGTGCCCGGGCACAGCCGGGGATGTGGGGCGGTGCCAGGGCCTCCCCGGCGCGCGGGAGGGCGGTTGGTACCTACCCGCCATCTTGCCGTAGGCCCCCCCGCCCGGTGCTACATGGAAGCCGCCGCGGCAGGAGGAGGGGAGGCGCCGTACGGTCCGGGCCCGCCGGCGGCGTCTCCGAGTGTCCCCGAGAGAGACTCGCAGGCAGCGAGCGAGGGAGGGGTCTGAGCCGGACACGCCGCTCCCGCCTCCGCCAGGGAGGGTCACACAAGCGCGGCCCTCCCCGCCCCTCGCTCCTGACTGACTCACGGAGCCGCCTCCAGGGCAGCGGCCGGGGACCCGCCCGGCCCGACAGGGGGCAGCCGGGGCACGCACCCAGCCCCGGCACTGCCCCCCGGCCGCGGGCACTATTTCACACTCGGCCCTGGCTCTGCACTTCTTCTCCAGCCCCACGGCCGCCTGGCCCGGGCACTGCCCCCACCCCCTGCAACCCCGCCCGCTGGGCCCTGGCACCGTGCCTCCTCCTGCCAACCCCACACACTGCGCCCCTGGCACTCCCCCCCACCCCCTGCAACCCCGCCCGCTGGGCCCTGGCACCGTGCCTCCTTCTGCCAACCCCACACACTGCGCCCCTGGCACTCCCTCCCCCCACCCCCTGCAACCCCGCCCGCTGGGCCCTGGCACCGTGCCTCCTTCTGCCAACCCCACACACTGCGCCCCTGGCACTCCCCCCCCCCCCGCCCCACCCCACGCTGGGCCCTGGCACCGTGCCTCCTTCTGCCAACCCCACACACTGTGCACCCTGGCACCCTGTCTTCCCTTCCCCCACCCCGCACGCTGGGCCCTGGCACCGTGCCTCCTTCTGCCAACCCCACACACTGCGCGCCCTGGCACTCCCTTCCCCCACCCCACGCGCTGGGCCCTGGCACCGTGCCTCCTTCTGCCAACCCCACACACTGTGCACCCTGGTGCTCCCTTCCCCCACCCCGCACGCTGGGCCCTGGCACCGTGCCTCCTTCCTGCCAACCCCACACACTGCGCGCCCTGGCACTCCCTTCCCCCACCCCACCCGCTGGGCCCTGGCACCGTGCCTCCTTCTGCCAACCCCACACACTGTGCACCCTGGTGCTCCCTTCCCCCACCCCGCACGCTGGGCCCTGGCACCGTGCCTCCTCCCTGTCCACCCCTGGTGCTTCCTTCCCTCCCCCACCCCCGCACCCTGCTGGCCCTGGCACTGTGCCTCCTTCTGCCAACCCCACACACTGCGCGCCCTGGCACTCCCTTCCCCCACCCCACACGCTGGGCCCTGGCACTGTGCCTCCTTCTGCCAACCCCACACACTGCGCGCCCTGG